TAATTGTATGTGGCTCTGTCCCGTGTTAGCAATCCCAGCAGCCTGTATGCTTTCACCCCCGACGGCCATACGTCTAATATTGTATATAGAGAAGCATTACAGTAAAGTAGGTTTTTTAGCTACCCAAAATGACTGTGATTATGATCCAAATCTAAAATAAAAATAAGTATATATTTAAAAAAAAAACGCTGCTCATAGTCACTATTCTACGCGAACGAAGTCGCGGGCACAGCTAGTTACAAAATAAAATTACTTGTTTTGTTTTCTTAAACAAAAACAGAATCCTTACGCGTGTTCACAATTTATTTATAGAAATACATTGAAACGGAAAAGTTCACGGAAAATAAAAGATTGGAAATAGGTGTATTATTCTATTGTCAACGATACTGAATAGTTATGCTCGTGGGTGGAGAATCTGAGGTCCTTTTGTCGAATAACAAGTATACTTTGAACTCCTTCCTATGTTAGTTGCAGGTACATTCTTGTGACGGAGAGGGGTCAAATTAATTGGTCGGTTAAGTATTCGTTAAGCACACACGTTGTATGAGAATATAGGTAAGTGTGCGGATAATATTCTCTGAGTATATTATGTTTATTTTGAGGCTTACATACTTTGACTGTTCGATAGTCTATTGGTTGTGTACATGGATCGTATGATCTGAAGTCGGATCCCCGAACACAAAACAATATGTCATTTAAAACAAATCTCATTGACCGTTTCGTTCGATGATCATAGGGTAGATGCCTAATTTTTATTTTAATGTCCGTCTGATAGATTATTATACATCATTACCTCTATACACGTTTTTTTTTTATTTTCTTACAGAAACGAATATTTTCGATGATATAGTGATTTGAATGTCGCGTGACATCACTTCTATGTACATTATAAACGTAGAAATGACTTTTTAGACCCCGCTCCTAAACTTTGATTCTTTTTATCTAATTATTGTTTTATTATACGACAAAATAAAAAAAACACGCGTCTAATATTTTTTTAATACCTAACTTACGGACTAGTTACTGTTAGTTTTTTAATTTTCATACCCTGTCATCATCCCAATTGACCAATGTATGTAATCATGTAATATACTCTTGTCATTATTAATTTTACCTTGATTTCAATCATCATCATCCGGCAGCCATTAAATGCCCACTGCTGAGCAAACACGGAGAAGGTTCGAGCATTTTTTTTTTTTTTTTTTTTTTTTTTTTAAAAAACGTTGCCCCACACTAGGATTTTCTCCTGTGTCGTGGGTGCGTTTACAAACACACAAGTTCACATACACAATGACACCCAGACCCGAAACAACAATTTGTGGATCACACAAAGTGTTGTTCCGTGCGGGAATCGAACCCGCGACACGTAACACGGCAGCCGGTTGCCCAGCCACCGCACCAACCGTGCAGTCAAAATTAATCAATGCTTGCTCAATGCAGGTTTGTGATTTCAAACTTATCATTAGAAATTATGAGTCCAGGTTTCCTCGCGATGTTTTCCTTCACCATTTGTCAGTGGTGTCTAAATAATCTTAGAAAGTACATATAACTCGGAAAAACCTAACAGAAAACCGACGTGAAGCAATTCTTGCATTGTGTTTCGTCGTGTGAGTGGGGTTACCGAAGGCCCAATTACCCTCTCCTTCCCCAATCTCCCCAACTCCTGAATCTCCAACGATCCTCAAACTCCTAATCCCCAAAAGGCCGGTAACGCACTTGTAACGCCTTTGGTGTTCCAGCTGTCAATGGGCGACTCCGATTGCTTAGTATCAGGTGATCCGTCTGCTCGTTTACCGGTTTATGCCATAAAAAAGTCACATTGGTATTAGCCGTTCGTCAGTCATGAGAAGAGTATTAAACCTTCGGGCCACCACGACTTTGCACTTTTTTCTTCTTTGCACTTTCACACATCACTTTGACTTAGTTTCAGTAGTGGCAAGGAATTTTAACATCGAAGACAACATACCTCAACACCAAAGTAAGCGGTGTAAGTATTTAATTAGACGCCTAATTTAGCCTAATGACTGGTTCCGTGGTTATAGTCCTTAGGCATTCTAGTCTCCCTGCCCTGTAAAGCATTTTCTCAATTTTAAATATCTCAATATTCAAGAGACAGTAACCTATTAAATAACCTTAAGGTTTTCAAAATTAAGTATTCCACGTCTATTACATGCCGCCATCTTGTTAGAAGTTAGACCGAACTAGCGCTAGTTTCGAATTCATTTATTAAAATTTTAAACTTAGAAATTGTAGCTCGGACTTTAAACGACGTTTTTAAATAGGAATCTAGAATAATATTAAAGTTTCGAGCGAGACGTGGTGAGAATAGCTTGAAGAAGCTTATTGTCGTGGGTAATGTTGAAGGGAGAAGGGCAAGAGGAGGATCCTCAACTAGATATCTGGCCAGCTCAAAGACAACCCAGCATTGAGGTTCTACACCTCATTGCAAATGGCCGCAGACAGGATCCGATAGAGACAATTTGACTGCACGGTTAGTGCGGTGGCTGGTTAACCGGCAGCCGTGCAACAACACTTTGTTTGATCCACAAATTGTTGTGTCGGATCTGGGTGTCATTGTGTATGTGAACTTGTATGTTTGTAAACGCACCCACGACACAGAAGAAAATCCTAATGTGGGGCAACGTATTTAAAATAATAAAAAAAAAATTCGTCCGATCACGATCCTCAATCGTGAGGGAACGTCCGGAGAGATTAAAGTTTTACATAACATGAAGCTGTGTGGTGACGGCAAAATCCTTATTTCTACGCTTCTTCCTATACAAATATGTCGTAAGAGCTGACTAAGAGACTATTCAACATTTTGTCGTACTTCGCTAAATGTACAAATATATCTCTCCATATATCCATCAAACTTTACGATAGTTTCTTTAACGTACTAAATAATTCAAGATACCGCAAAAAAATCTGAACACCTAACTTTGTTCCACTTCCAGCTCCAAAAAACTTAAATTATCATTGGCAAAATGGCTCCTCAATACATTCTAGAGGTATAATAGAAAAGTTCTGAATAGTTCCCTGCTAATAACAAATTCTTTATTGCTATAATGGTACGTTGTAATACAAAGTTTTCAAACTTGTCTCAAATTGAACAGAATCGCGTGAAATACGTACAAAAATCGTTGTTATTGTACTTATGTCGAAACTACGACCGCTTTTAATGGAATTATTATTTTATCGAAATCTTTTGACATCTCAAAGTTCGGGATTAATGTTCGTACTTTCAATTTTTGGGTTAATTTTTTTTTTCTGGACTTGATTTATGTTGGAGTTTTTTTTTAGAGTTTACAAACTAATGGTGACTTTAATAGTGAATAGAATTCGACTTTTGATTTATTTTATGTCACTACAATAACATGTTTGTTTATGAGGATAAGCCGATAAATTACTAGATGTATCACCTAATTGTAAGCAATCGACGCCGCCCATAGACACCCGAAACACCAGACGCGTTACAAGTGCGTTGCCGGCCTAAGGAATTTTATCTGTATTGTGTTGTAATGTGACTGGTGAACCATTACTTCGTTAATTTCATGTTGTAGTGTGGGAGAACCATGCCTCGGCACAAATGGGCCGGCTCGACCGGAGTGATACCACGGCCTCACAGAAAACCGACGTGAAGCAACGCTTGCGTTGTGTTTCGTCGTGTGAATGAGGTTACTTGTCTTGTTCCAGTACAGTTGTAAATGGGCCGGCTCGACCGGAGTGATACCACGGCCTCACAGAAAACCGACGTGAAGCAACGCTTGCGTTGTGTTTCGTCGTGTGAATGAGGTTACCGAAGGCCCAATTACCCTCCCCTTCCCCAATCTCCCAAATCCCTGAATCCCCAACGATCCTCAAACTCCTAATCCCCAAAAGGCCGGTAACGCACTTGTAACGCCTCTGGCGTTTCGGGTGTCCATGGGCGACGCCGATTGCTTACCATCAGGTGATCCATCTGCTTGTTTACCGGCTTATGCCATAAAAAAAAACTAAACAAGAAATAGGAAACAGACTTCTAGGAGAAGAAACCAGCAACATTTAGTCAACAGTTTTCTATTTATACTACTTTCAGTTAAAATTTCTATCACGTATTAAATTACCATTTTGTGATGAGAAAGCGCTCCGTGAAATTACAAAACGTGAACCGTAATTATTATTGTTCACGATAAAGTCAATAAATACAACGATCCCTGTTTATTTTTGTAACATTCGTTATAAAATAACCAACAATTTTGTATATATTCATTACTTTTACTTTGTTACTAGTAATTATAAATTATATGTTTCATTTTGTGTATGACCATGTTATATTCTGTAGTATATCCATGTATGTATATCCTGTGGTCCAATTCTCGGAAGGATATTTAACAAATTTTGTAATAATATTGTTGTTATTTGCTCATCATACACGTGTTGCCATTCTTATCTCCCATTTGGGTAGGCAGATCATCATCATAGTTCACCATATAATGTATGGCATACTCAGCTATCTAAAATCATAAGTACAAATATATTTTTTCCATATTTCTACCATTTACTGCCTCATAGGCCGAGTGGTCGCAAGTGCGACTAAAAGGGCAAGGGGTCTCGGGTTCGATTCCCGGGTCAGGCAAAGTATTACTGGGTTTTAAAAAAAAATAGTAATTAATCGTAGCACGGAGTCTGGAATTGTGCACGGTATATGGCAATAGGCTCACCTTAGATAGGACTTATAGCATAAATAGTGAAAAGTGGGTGTTACATTGTACAGTGGTATAATGTGCACCTCTGCCTACCCCTTCGGGAATGAAAGGCGTGATGTTATGAGTTCTACCAATTACTTTTTGTGGTCATACATAAGAATGTATTGTCATACTTTTTTATGTATCACCAATACTAAACGGTAATGAAATGGGCAGATAGTAGCATAAATACAAACTATTACAACAAAATATAATTTTAATGTAAATTACTCAAAACAACCTGTACAATAAACATCAATAACTATGAGTTAAAAAGTTCAGCAAATTTCATTATGCCAATGTGTACTTCTTTGGCAGCTGGTAAAATATCTTTTGGTGCAAGAACATCCAGTCCGTTTTGTCCTCTCGTCTCTACAATGTATGAATGTTTGATCTTTTTTGTGAAGTACATCCAATCTATGGCCATGCCGTAGCCTACTTTCCCCATAGCATGGATGTCACCACTAATAAACTGATAGTTCTGAACGCCACGCATTGCCTGTGAAACAAAAAATGAGTACAGTTCTTCAAAGATTTTTAGAGTCTGTAAAACTAATATAAATATTACATTAATTTATGAATAATTCTTATTCATAAATTAATGTAATAATTCATAATACAAAAGTTGGTGACTTTAAGATTTGAATAAAACTATATTTTTCTCTTGAATATTTTTTTAGTAGGTAACTAATCGTTTTTATTTACATACTAAATCTATAAGGTGTAAAAATATTATGTACACAAATAAATACGTCCAAATGTTCGTATAATATTGTAGTAAATGAACAATAATTGCTCGCGTTGCAAAATCTTTTCGAAGAATAAATCACCAAAAATGATGAATAGGGTAGTTGTCTAAATTTATTTTAATGTCCGTCTGGTAGATTAATTTAAAACATTAGACACGTATTTTTTCTTTTCTCACAAAATTAAATACTTTCGACGATATATTAATCTGAAATATCGTATGACGTCACTATGCGCTATATTTTGTAGGGCATAGTGAGTTAACGACCTCCCCACTCCTAAACTGAACTCCATTTTATCTAAGTATTGTAACTTTATACGAGAAAAAAAATTATTATGTAACTGACGGACTAATTAGATTTTTAATTTTCAATTCCTGGCAACTACCCTATTCTAAGACGTCTTTTCCAGAAGAAAACATAATGAAATTGTCGTGACATGAACTTCAAAGTATTTGAAACCTTACCTGTGCCATCGCCTTGGTCATAGTAATTTGGTCCACATGGTCACTACTAGTGACTCCCATTGGAAATAAAACCTTCGTGCCAGCAGAATGAATGGACAGATATCCATGGAAACGTGGACCATCTGTTAATTTCTGAAACATAAATATTTCACTAATGTCAAGTTGCAGTAATTAAAAATGGGGGTGCAATAGGGTATATGCCTAATTTTTATTTAAATGTCCGTCTGGTAGATTATTTTTAATTAATGATTTAAAATGTGACACGTGTTTTTATTTTCTTACAGAAACGAATACTTTCGACGATATATTGATTTGAAACGACGTTTGTCGCGTGACGTCACTTCTATGTACATTTTATACGTAGAAATGACGTTCTAGACCAGACGGACATTAAAATAAAAATTAGGCATCTAAACTATTATATAATAAAGAATTTATTAAACTTTACATCCAATAATTTATGTACTGAATAAAAACACTTGTGCAAAAGTAATTCTGTCATTACTAAACAATACAGATATTCAAGTAACTACTAAACTGCACTTGACATACATTAATGATCAGTTCAAAAATGTCACAAAATGACCAGAAGTAGACAAAGTTCTGAAGACATATAATATCCATCCATTAATCCCCAGTAGGCCAAAGGGGATGGAAGCGAGGTCAAAATAGGGGAGAGTATCGTCAAATATCTTTAACTTTATGGCAAACGACGAAACTTTTCTCGGCCAAAAATATCACCTATTCTAAGACATTTGGAGATAAAACTTAATGACACTGACTATGATTGGTTCTTATTAATCTTTATTTGACTGCCTCATTGGCCGAGTGGTCACAAGTGCGACTGCCGGGCAAGAGGTCTCGGGTTTGATTCCCGGGACGGGCAAAGATTTATTGGGTTTTTTAAAAAAAACTCAGTAGTAGCACGTAGTCTGGAATTTTGCCCGGTATATGGTCCTATGTAATAGGTTCACCCCATATTACGTAGGACTCATAATATAAATATGAAAATCATAAATATCACATCATAAAATTGAAAAAAAGTATACTTTTCAAAGATTGTCACTAAAGAATAACTGACCTTAAAAGCTTGGGTCTCTGGTTCGGAGAATGGTGCACGTCCACAAAAGGTATCACTGCATACAGATCTCGTGGAACCCTGCTTAGCCCAATTGTATCTGGAGCAATATAAATACAAACATTAATACTAATACGAGATTATTATTAAACTGTCGAACACCAAGCGGTCACCGGTGACCGCAACCTATAGTTCTATAATTGTGTCTATAATGACGGTACTCGACGAGTTAAATTACATTACAAAAACGAACTAATTTATCTTTATTCAGTTTAACTGAGCCAACTTACTTTATGTAATAAAAGGATGACCTAATAATAATACATTGAACTCAGATCAAATTAAGATATCATGATTTTATGCAACACAAAAAATATAGTTGTGTCTTTTGTGTTGCATACAAACATGGCAGCTTTGTTCTACTATAAAACATTACATTTGGTTCTGGACTTGGATGTAAATAACATAATTTAGTATAATGGAACTCAAACACAATCAAAAACCAAAGTTTTAATGAACCATCTTCAGGACATTTTGAGAAACGATAACACGTAACCAAACCCCTGACAAATCCCATAAGGGGTTACGTTGCAATTTGGGGGGATGTAATACTAAACTTGGTGGTGAGGGGTAAGGGATAACTCCCGCTCTGAGGGCCTAGTACAAGTTTATTTATCGTTTAATGCTGATCGACACGTTTATGACGTTCGGCGCTCTAATTGGATGCTCCAACTAACCAATCAAAGTCGTAGGCGACGCTAACCCAACGCGTCTTGCGTCTCCGATGAGCGGAAAAGCAATAATGCGGGTTGAATAGGGGCCGCCGCGTTGGCGCGACTAGTGGTCCCCGTTCAAACTGTATAATTTCCCACTCATCACAGGCGCAAGACGCGCCAGCGTGGCCTGCGACAAACAGAGGGCTAGACGCGATAAAGTTACGATCTCCGGCCACCGTAAGCGCGGGCCTCGGACGGCGAACATGGCTCGCCGCCCGACCAGAACCAGACCCGAACGTACGGCGCGTCGCGTTCCGAGCGGCGAGCGCGCCTCAAAGACCCATCTGTCCACCACGGATGGGGCCCAATAGGAGTCGTGGAGAACCTAAAGAGTTACTGGGGCTCCGGATCGAAGTGCAGGAGTAGGAACGGAGTGGTTTTTAGTCAGTAAGAGTCTGACACTCCCTCCTCTCACCCAGGCGGGAGCAGTCATTCGATGATATACCCCATTAAAAAAAAATAGATGCGTTAAAGTGATCATGTTAAACGTAAAACAATTCCTACGTGCAACTAGGTCCTCTGTTCTCTTTTATAAATGACGGTAGCATGCCAGTACAAATATAAACTGTTACATTAGCGCTCTGCAACCTCCCGCGGTAGATTCATAGAAATAATTGCGAAGGGAAAGTTTGTTGGTCTCATTAAAATGATATACACAGAGTAACTTGTTTTTGTTTACGTAGTTTTCAGTTGTTGTACCTCCACAATATATTAAGTTACTAAACTTGTCATCCTGAACGCTTAGTTAGATTTGATGTTGGACTTTTGAATGGTACCGAAAACATTATAAGTATTTTTTTTCAGTATTGAAAAAATGCAGAGAAAAATATGCTATGGGTTTTTTTTAGGGGGGAAATCATCAAATGGATCTCCCACCCAGGTGAGGCGGGAGGGAGAGTCAGACTCTTACTGACTAAAAAACACCCTATGCTTATGGGTTTAGAAGAATCATTTACATGTTTTGAATAGTCACATGTGCACTGTGAAAATTGCTTCACAAACAAGTCGTTGCACGTCGCCATGACCCAGACCCAGACTTACCCGACATAATAACCTAATCAGGTAACATTAATTATAATTGCAAATTAGTTGTAAACTTGTGCAACCATGTTGGATTAAGTGGAATTATTGGCTTGGCTCTATGACTATTAGTTGGTCCTTCCGTATATCGAACCGAAGGACCGTTTTTAGGACCTATAAGATCGTAGTTTGGAATATGTACTTTATAAATTGTAATCCTATGTATGAAGTATTTAACAGTCTATTTATGGTTGAAATATTAAATATGTTACAAAAACGGTGTAATTAATTAAAGTATGTACTCACTAGTTTTTACCCGCGGCTTTGCTTTAGGATACTTTTTAAGAAAAAAAGTATAATATTAGTGTGATACAACGCACTGTCAGCATTATTATCTAGATTAGATAAAAAAATCTTCGATATGTCACTAACATTTCTAGTCCTTACTAATGACTTTTGGAAACGAGTATAGAACCGCAATTCAATTTCAAAAGAAGTCTTAAACAAATACAGCATATCGGTAATTCCAATTTACCCAAATTGCTATTTAAAATAGAACATTGTTTACTTTGTACCCTTTGTTTCACCCTTCTAAACATTCAAAAACTCCCCAAACGCCAACAATTCCAAAACAAGAAGAAATGAGGTACTAGGTAAGGAGTAATTAACGTTGTCGACAGAAAATTATACAACGTGGAATCTTCTGCCTAACACTTCATGAATAAAAATGAGAGAACACCACATGGCTAGAGCAAATTTTGTTAAAAATTCCAAAAAAAGCTTGAAAATAAGTATCTGGAGCACTAATTGTGGATTTGAAGGAATTATTGCGGTTAGCTTAGCCTCTCGTTAAATAAGGAGGGCCTTCCCTTTGGCTGGTTTGACTGTGAATTCTAATTATGTCTGTAGCCTGCTGGGCCATTTGTACCGTCTAGAGTATGCAATTGACCCAGTTATATTGTGGGTGTAAAAATATCGCCTCTACATCATACAGTTATGCAATGCAATGTTAGTAGAAATGTTCATTTTAATTTTTATTTCTTAATTTTCCTCATTACCTCTTTTTAACCCGCTTATTGAGGTCAATAGAGAAGACATTAGTGAGAATTTCATAAATCAAATAAGGCGGCTTCACATTTTGCTTGACTGTCATATTTTATGAGATAAGTCAGTGACCGAGCAGACGGATCACCTGATGGTCGGCAATCGGCGTCGCCCACAGATACCCGGACACCAGAGGCGTTACAAGTGCGTTACCGGCATTTTATGATTTAGAAATTTGAAGATTGTTGGAGATTCAGGGACTGGGGAGATTGAGGAGAGAGAGAGGGGAGTGGGGCAGAGTAATTGAGTCTCCGGTAACCTCACTCACACGACGAAACACAACGCAAGAGTTGAGTCACGTCCGTTTTCTGTTAGGCCGTGGCTCCGGTCGAGCCGGCTCATTCATGCCGAAGCATGGCTTTCCCACACTATTAAGCTTAGGACCAAACAACCAGTACTTATGTAACTACGTAAAGACAAGTGCATCAAAATTAAGGCAGGGATTTTGCCATGCTTATACACCGTGCAATTTATTTCGTTTTCGTCCCGAAATAAAATGGTTCTGTCTCGGTAATACAATATTTTTACAAAGAAATAAAATGTTTAAAACCAAAAGAAAGTGGTGCATCATTACAAAAATTAACTTCGAAAGTGCGTACGAAGTAATAGTACATAATCAATACATAACGCCATGTAATTCTCGAAGAGGTATTTCTCGTCGTGTGGTACGTGCGATGCGAATAGTGCCTAAAAATTAGCATCTAGTGTCTCATATGCAAAAGTAAATGACATTTTTATTAAGAAAAAAAAAATTACGTTTTCTTTTTTTTGTTTTTAATTTGTACATCGAAAGTACTCTACTACTATGGCAAGTTGTTTTGCCACAGGGCGAAAACGGTGTATTGATTAGTTTTAATCTTGGAATGACAAAAATAGTATTATTTTCATTTATTTGCTGTTTGTTTTTTTTCTAATCAGCTAGAGACAAGCTTTGTTTATAAAATAAAGAAATACTAAAACAAAACAAAAGCAAATCTATTTGGAATCACCGTCCTCTGGCGGTAAGCAGTGTTTTTAATCTTGAAGCCGGAAAACCTTATAAATCTTCTTAATTATTAAATTACATTGTCATTTTGTAAAAAAAAATATATTTTCTTTTAAGCAATCTGTCTTTTTAAAGATTAAAAAAAGTTAGTAAAAAGTGTGTGTAAGAGCACTCAATGCTCTTTAAAAAAATACATAATATAACGTAACATCACGCCTTTTATCCTCGAAGGGGTAGGCAGAGGTGCACTTTATGCCACTATACAATGTAACACCCACTTTTCACTATTTATGTTATGAGTCCCATGTAATAGGGAGTGATCCTATTGCCGAATACCGGGCACAGTTCCAGACTCCGTGCTACTACTGAGATTTTTTTTAAAACCCAATAATACTTTGCCCGACCCGGGAATCGAGCCCGAAACTCCTTGCCCGGCAGTCGCACTTGCGACCACTGGGCCAACGAGGCAGCAAAAAATACTATATTCATAAAAATCATTACGTCATAACAATGGCATCAATAAGTTAAAATAAACAACTGTGTGTAATCAAAAGGCAACGAACATACACTTCGATTGATTTCAATCAAATATATTTTCCCTAACCATCCGAAAGAATAATGTTTTCCCCAAAAAATACATTTTCTTTGGTCATATAAATTAAATTTATGGCTTCCGAAAATAGATTTTTTCTACTAAATCGCTAACCGAACCAATGAAATCTGTTTCACGGTTACCCATAAACCATTTTTATTTTCAGAATACTTCTCAATCGAGAAGAAATAACAATTAAAGTAATGTTTCCCTCGTCGATCATCAAACTGTGATCTAATAGCTTAGCCACGGACAGTCGCGTGTCGACGCGACAGGCGACAGAAACAAATGAATAGAAATGTACTATCGACACATTGGAACTATGACCTCTATGCCAAGAACATAACGGGTAACCGGGGCTCCGGCTCGACGTGCAGGAGAAGGAACGGGGTGCTTTTTAGTCAGTAAGTGTCTAACACTCCCTCCCGCCTCACTCAGGCGGGGGCAGTCATTCGATGATATTCCACCCTTAAAAAAAATGCCAATAAATCAATAAAATCGTCAAAATGACTTCACACCGTGCAGTGTGCAGTAGTTGGGCGACTTATAACAGCGAAACGTGTCGGGGATTCATTCATTTATTTTTATTTTCTTAATTATTTGTCTTTTCTACCTACTATCCGTGAGTCACTGCAGGCTGCCACCAGAAGACCAGCGTTGAGTGTTACCACGCTCAACATAATGCTGAGGTGGAAGCCCGTTCGGCATGGGCATGCATCTATTTTTGCCAATTTTGTGATGTTAACAAAAACATGTTAACAAAAAACTGCACTACTTAAAGCTTGACTGGGAGATAATGCCCAAGGCACATACCTACTTGTTGTATTGAGTTGAAAAATAAATAAATAATTTCGTGGCCAAGTAATATAGGTTATTCAAGTTAAACACGTTAAACGTTTTTATATATTATTGTTGCTGCTTATTTAAATGTTATTTTATGTTTTTATTGCTCCTTTTTTAAATTTGATCTTAAATGTTATTTTATAATTGTATATTTAGTGGTTCACGCCTGGTGAAGGTAAAATTTTTTTTTTCTATCTTTCTTTCGTTTCGGGGCGTTTAGCCATAGAGGACATATGGGAACGTATGGGTCACGCTAGCTATAGGATGTGCCCCCAACAGTTTTATCGGCAGTCAAAGCCTTAAGACAAGGAGAGAAAATATTGCTGTCACAGGCTTAGTGGGATTGGGGGTAGAAACGCTTCCGAGTCGATAGGTCGGGGAGGTTAAGCCGCGGTTGCCTCTTATATGGGGTCAACTTGGGTTGATTCGGTAATATTGCCTTGCATCACGTATCTTAAGGAAAAACCGGATGATATTATTCCGTATTGTATTATTAATACACATATCTTTTTATATATAATTCTTCTGTGAGTGTGTATGTCACTGAACTTCTCAAACGACTGGACCGATTTTGATGAAATTTTTTGTGTGTGTTCAAGGGGATCTGGGAATGGTTTAGATTCACAAATCAGCCCGGCAGATGACGCTGCAGTCGATGTTTAGGTTATTTATCCTAAACAGCTGAACTAATTTGAATGAATTTTTGTTTATATATTCAAGTGGATATGCAGGACAACGTCTGTTGGGTCCGCTAGTAGTTAGATAAAATTATTCTATATCACCTTAAGATAAATAAGGTTAGGTTCATAAAATAACTACAGAATAATTGACTGCACGGATGGCGCGGCTGCCGCGCAACGTATCGCGGGTTCGATTCCCGCACGGAGCAACTCTTTGTGTGATCCATAAATTGTTGTTTTCGGTCTGGGTGTCATGTGTATGTGATATTGTATGTTTGTAAACGCACCCACGACACATGAGAAAATATACATAGTAAGTATGGGACAAAGATAAAAAAAAAACAAACCAAAAACAAATTATTGAATATAGGCTTAAAAACAAATTAAAGTAAGATTCATAAAAAAATATTAATTAAGATATAACAAATAATGATACAAAGAAACCATATCCCGACTAATCTATTATTATAATATTCCTCATTTTCGCAGAAATGAATTAATCGAAATTTTTCATACAAAACAAAATAATAGTACGAAACAGTACAAATTAATGTCATACATAATAATTTACTTTTTTATGGCATAAGCCGGTAAACGAGCGGACGGATCACCTGATGGTAAGCAATCGGCGTCGCCCATGGACACCCGAAACACCAGAGGCGTTACAAGTGCATTACCGGCCTTTCGGGGATTAGGAGTTTGAGAATCGTTGGGGATTCAGGCATTGAGGAAGGGGAGGGTAATTGGGCCTTCGGTAACCTTACTCAGACCACACGACGAAACACAACGCAAGCGTTGCTTCACGTCGGTTTTCTGTGCGTTACTTAGTGCAATCATTTGAAAGATAAATGTGAAGAAACATTACAATGATTATTTTACAACCAATCAAAAAGTAATAACTTACTCGAAGTTTCTATTGAGATCCACTCCATAACAGAATTCGCTGACTTTTCTTCTGTTCTTCTTCCATAGTCGATCGTTATTCAGACTGTACTCGTAGCCATCTGGATTAAGTACTGGTATGATATGCCTGGAAGAAAATACAATAACCTCGTTGACTGACAACATGACTGCCTCGTCGCAAGTGCGATTGCCGGGCAAGGTGTCTTGGGTTCGATTCCCGGGTCAAGTCAAGCAAAGTATTACTGGGTTTTTAAAAATCTCAGTAATAGCACGGACTCTGGAAATGTGCCAGATATATGGTAATAGGCTCACCCCCTATTACATGGGACTCATAACATAAATAGTGAAAATGGGTGTTACATTGTACAGTGGCATTAAGTGCCGTAATATGTACCTCTGCCTAGCACATTTCACTATTTATGCTATGAGTCCGATGTAATAGGGAGTGAGCCCATTGCCATATACCGGGCACAATTTCAGACTCCATGCTACTACTGAGGTTTTTTAATTGCGAGCATTAATTCAATTAATAATCATTACTTTTTATAAAAATTGTTAGATTTTCTACAAATTCCAAAATGTAACATTATAAGCTTACACACTATACGCTTTTCTAAAATACGTTTAAAAAAAACAAAAACATATTTACCAATCTCGATCCTTAATATACGAAGGTTGATGATGAAAGTCTCGAACAATGGTATCAATAAAATACAACGTCGATATTACTGATGTCCATTCAGAACCGTGGATCCCACTGTCTATTAATATAGCCTTATTTGTAGGGTTCATTGTTGATATCTTTAGCACCTAAAACAATAATTAACAGAATAGTAAAATACCATAAATATTTTAGCACCTATTGTGTTCCGACGAACATACAATCCAATTGGACAACAGACCGAGACGACTGTAATCACTGCATAGTATAAAACAAAGTCGCTATCCGCCGTCTGTCTGTCCCTATGTATGCTTAGATGTTTAAAACTACACAACGGATTCTGATGCGCTTTTTTTAATAGATAGAGTGATTCTTAAGGAAGGTTTATATGTATAATACATGCATATTGCACCCGTGCGAAGCCGGGGCGGGTCGCTAGTAAATAGTAGCAACGGCTCCATATTGAAATAAATAAATAAAGTATTATCAACAATCAATCCTGAGACGTACTAAATTAACTAAAAATCGCGGTTTATTTACGTGAATATACTGAGAAAAGCGACGCGTACGGTACACTACCCGCGCCGCTGGTGAACTTACCATGCGCGCCAATATCGTCCAGCGCGCCGCCGCTGAAGTTGGAAGCTAACGTTCGTGGTGTCCGGTAGAGGGCGCGTTGGGCTAGATGCGCAAGTAGCAACACCGATGCGAGCGTCAACGCTAGCCAGTAGGCTGCGCAACATCGCCGCGACCGCGCACGCTGCTCATGAGGAAGAACCCCTCTGTGGTTCGAAACTAGTAGAGCTTTTCTCAGTATATTCACGTGAGTAACCCGCGATTTTTAGTTAACAATCAATCCATCATAATATGTACAATGTTTTCATTATATATCCATCCAGGCGAGATAGTGGACAAACGTCGGTACATCAAATATAAAAAAAAACCATTGCTGGACATGATACACTGGAACCCTTTATATCCAACCATAACTAGCCTGTCTGTTGAAATACTGGCTCCCGGTATAAACACATTATGACCGCAACTGTCAACAGACAAGAAGCTAGAGGCTAGTAACTCAATACATAACATCACTAATTATAAGATTAGCAATAACTAAAGTAACAACATTAACTTTGACACATTACATCACATATCAACAGCGTATAACTAGCCACTGCTGACCAAAGGCCCTGCTCTCACATGGGGAAGGTTTGAGCATTTTCGCCACGCATGCTCGTTGCGGGTTGCCGATTTCAAACTTATAATTACAAATTATAAGCCCAGGTTTCCTCACGATGTTTTCCTGTATCTTTTGTATTGATACTTACATAAATAGGTTTATTGTTCACGGTCTTGCCCAGTGTTATCAAATTGCAATGAGGATATTTTTTATTAATCCTCTCCAAATATGCATGAATTTGATCTAACGTTGGATATTTTGTCCAGTCCAAAGCTCCTCTAGGCGTTCTATCTGTATGGAGTAAAGATTTTTTTAAGAAAAAGAAGAGCTTATATTAATGTTTGTACAATCCTCTCATTTCTCAATCCACAGTATGAGACCCCTCTTGGTCTCAATAGTTAGCAATTTATCTATAAGTGTTTTTTATGGTATAAGCTGGTAAACGAGGAGACGGATCACCTAATAGTAAGGAATCGGCGTTGCCCATAGACATTCGGAATACCAGAGGCGTTATAATTGCCTTTTGGGGATTGTTGGGGAATCAGAGATTGGGGAGATTGGGGCCTCCAGTTAACTCACTCATACGACGAAATACAACGCAAGCGTGGTATTTGGTATTTCACGTCGGTTTTCTTGTAAGGCAGTGATATCACTCCTGTCGAGCCAACCTATTCGTACCGAAGCATGGATCTCCCATACTTGTAAATGTAGCCAAAATATGTTTGACGGTCTTAAGACGCTTAATAAAACATGCTATTGTATTTAAAGTATGATTGGTTGAAGGTACGTAATACTCCGATCCATTAAAGTAATGTAGGCAAACCAAATCCCGGATTGAGTCGAACAAAGTTAAAACAACATTAGGCGCGCCCACGCCGCGAAGTTTGACCTAAACATCTTTGGCATATCAGCATAAGTTTTGTACCGTTTGAAGTTTTAGACATTCCGTAATATGTCTGGAATATTCTAGTAGACGTATTCGGTAGTTCTAGACACATAATACTTTTATATCGGAATATTATTATCTTAACATTGAAGATAAGGAAATTCAGATAATTTCTCGCGGTTGTATTGCAGTTGAAATGCGGTCTGTCTATCTGAAGCTTTAGGCAGCATTGCGAAGTCCACTTGAGTGGCTTTTTTTTTTAAGGGGGGATAATCATCGAATGACTGCTCCCGCCTGGGTGAGGCGCGAGGGAGTGTCAGACTCTTACTGACTAAAAACCACCCCGTTCCTTCTCCTGCACGTCGAGTCGGAGCCCCAATTACCCGTTTGGTTCTCCGCGACAACTTGAGTGGCTACTGTGACTTGAAACTAATCGAGATACCTGGTCGAACAGTTACGTGAGTGAGAAAGACTAATACAAACACTTTAAGTGTGGGAGAGCCATGCTTCGGCATAAATAGGCCGGCTCGACCGGAGCGATACCACGGCCTCACAGACGACCGACGTGAAACAACGTTGTGTTGTGTTTCGTCTTGTGAGTGAGGTTACCGGATGCCCATTTACCCCCTCCTTTTCCCCAATCCCTGAATCCCCAACAATCCTCAAATTCCTAATTTCAAAAGGCCGGTAACGCACTTGTAGCGCCTCTGGTGTTGTAGGTGTCCATGGGCAACGCCGATTGCTTACCATCAGGTGATCCGACTGCTCGTTTACCGGCTTGGCTTATCCTATAAAAAAAACACGATAAACTTAATAATAAAACAAAAGTTTGAATATCAACCTTATACTAAACGGAACAAAAGCTACAAAACATTCTTACCAATATGACCATAGCGTCTGGTAGGAAACGTATGCACCAGAGCATCATCAACTCTCTCACGCACGTCTTCTATCAATATTTTATGAGAGACATTGTGTTGCTCCAAAAATGAAGCCATTTGGTCAGCTTCGATATCAAATATCATGAAGTCGATCGTTCTATTGTCTCTCATCCATATCTCATCGTCGTAGTGAGCTGCAAGACAAGATGATTTTTTTTTATATTTAATGGTCTACTGTCTCGTCTGGTGGTAAGCGATGATGCGGTCTACGATGGAGCACGTCTTCCCATAAGCCATCTCTTGGGCCTTGAAGACTCCTAGGTTATACCCTTCAGGGAATACAGACTCTAAATCAGTATATATATTTGGGTAATCATTATTGTTTGTTTTCAGTCAAGTCTTCTCTTTTTGCAGTCTTTATCTCGCTATTCAATTTGTAATCATTGACATTAATGATCTAACTACGGTAAGTCTTATCCATCTTTTACATGCATTAACCTCTTATCTGTCGGCGTGCGAGACACAATAGAAAACACATTGTGTCTCGCGTATATATACGTTCAGGCATACCAGGGAATGTTTAACAATGTTAATATACGTTTGTATTTATTTATCAAGTATCAGGCTAATATATCGTCCTTAGCTTCGCTCGCAGCGCAAACAAATGTAGTTAATATTATCAAAAAATTATATACAACATCCCGGATTTTTAAAAAAAATGTGATCTAGTAACCATTTATCTCTTGATCAAAACTTACCAAAATCGAATGAGCCATTTAATTAAAACCTCATTTTAGACTTCTTCAAAAATTTTTTTTTCTTAAACGTTCCCCCACATTACGATTTTTATTTGTATAATATCTATACAAGTAGGGACAGTATAGTCTCATTAAATTTTGACGTCGCATTGTCGTTGAATAAGTAATCTTTTAACTTAACAAATACATAAATAACCAGTAGTTAATCTCACTATTTCTAAAGAATAACTATTACTAATAGACTATTGGTTATTGAATATAGGAACCGCTAAAACGATACGTCTTCCTACGGCCCATTGATTTCTTTGTGTCGCAGTTCTATCCTGACCGAAGCCTTATGGGGTCACATTAGTAGCATTATAGTGTACTATGTCGGCTAAACGATTACATTTAATGGTGCGGAAGACTATCCCATACTTTTTCCATAAAGAGGCAAACGTATATCTTGTTTATTTTATCTTTCTTTTGCCAAGTTTAATTGGTTGTAACTATGTGTAAGTCTCTGTTTGTTTTGCTCGAAAATGAAAGAATCCTGTTATGGAATTCAATAATGAAACATACATAACATAGCGTCACGCCTTTTTATCCCCAAAGGGATAGGCAGAGGTGCACATTACGGCACTTAATGCCACTGTACAATGTAACACCCACTTTTCACTATTTATGTTATGAGTCCCATGTAAAAGGAGGTAATCCTATTGCGATATACCGGGCATAATTCCAGACTCCGAACTACTACTGAGATTAAAGAAATTAAAGTAAAGTATACATATT